TCCATGTTTTAGTTCTTTCACCCTGTGACTACACTTAATCCACATTACCAACTCTTTGAGTGATAGTACAGTTATCTTTTGCCACTTTGTCATAAATATCTGGCACACTGCATATCAGAGGAAATTATTTGGTAGGTTTTCTAGTTTATGAGTCAGAATTAATGTTAATTATATAACATTTGCTGTAATCAATTCATTGTATATGGTTTACAGGTTGTATGGATATAATTTGGTATCTCTTCTTACAGTATATATGGGATGGTTATAAACAGTAAACACAATAAAGCAAAAATAACAAAACTACAATGGGATGTAGCATTAAATTCAAAATTCTACTTGCGGTGGATGGCCATCCAAAAATTGTTTCCTACCAGCAATATTCTCTATCTTTCTTCAGTCTTTTCAGGACATGGTGTACCTTCTCTGCATGACAATGGGTGGCAATCTGGGTTCTTTGTCTGTTGTGATGATTCATTTTTGTGGTGGACTCAGATCATCATATTGCAACATTCTTGCCAATTCCAGATTCACTCCAGCAGTGACAGGCAATGAATCTTGACACAGAACATAGTTGGATTGTAGCAATTGATGGGTTGTGAATCATTAAAGCTACATCCCATAGGTTTGGCAAAACTACATATAGAGCTATTAGAGCAATCATATGTCTCTAGAGTGGTGTTTTCTGTAAACACAGAATCACACAGAGTTCTTACAGAGATACATCTATTTCCAATATATGCAAGTACAGTCTCAGGGGGTTCAACACAATGTTGACATCTTGTCAAGCATGAAGGCAAATGTCTTGGTCCTTAATAGTATTATTTTCACAAATAAATCCTTGCTGTTCCTGTCCAATCAGGCATCAACATCCATAGTTGGCTATTTGCTCCCATTTGGGGCTCATACTTGTGTGTTCTAACAGATAGAGGACAGTTCCATTGTGATTTTATCAGCACAATAATTTGGTATAAGGCATGTACTGAAGCATTGAGTATGGTTAAAAGATAAGCTCTGGCTTTCCAATCACTGGGGTAATAAGTGTCATTAACTAGGTGTCACCAAGATTGGAAACCCTTTCAAAGTAAATGTCATAATCCCAAATTACTTTTTGTTTATTAGTGGTGAAGGGGTCTTCATTGCCTTCCTTTTTAATTGCTATTACAGCAGATTGCAACCACAGCTGAGAAAGACATGTGGTATAAAATTTAACTATAGTTACCATATCAAAATAGCAAAATAAAGAAGTGAGGGTCTTCACCCTGTGGGTCAGGCTGTGTCGAAGGTATATGTTGGGTTCTCCTTTGAGAAAGATGAGCAATCCTCCAATGGCTAACCTGATCTCCAGAGGACATGTGTTGGTATCACTGCTGATATCACAGAATCACAGAATCATTAAGTTTGGAAAAGACCTCTGCACTGAGATCCACGTTCAGATTTATCTTGAACATCTCCAAGCATGGTGACTCTACCACCTCCTTGTGCAGCCCATTCCAGTGCTTAACCACCTTTCCAGTGAAGAAATCCTTTTGGATGCCCAACCTGAACTTCCCCTGGTGCAGCTTGAGACCATTTCCACGTGTTTTGTTGCCTGAGAGAAGTGTCAAACCCCCACCATTGAAACAGAGAAATTAAGAATTAGGAATTAAGCATAAAGAAATGCTGGACCAGAAGAGAGGTGGAGCTGACAAAATCATATACTGTTCCCACAAGAGCAAGAAAGAAGCAAGACTGCAAGATAAGATAAAGAGCTAGAATACACAAGCAGGATGCAAGGACAAAGGCACCACAGGATAAGGGGATTCTTTGGAC